GTATAAAACACTATAATATGTTTGCAGATATTTGGGAAACATGCTAACTTCACATGCTTGTTTCTCCGAGAAAAAAAAAACCCTGCTACAGCCAGTTATTCTGCTTTGAAATGTGTGTTCAGTGTCAGAATGTCTGTTTTTGTTTTGGTCTGTGTGATTCCGCCCACTTCCAGTTTACCCAATTGGATTTTGACACCACAGGTTGCCAGTTGGTAGAAAACACAGCGTATTACAGACATGGAAGCCAGCAAAATGAACTGGATCAGAGATCACAGATTCTACCTGACCTAAAAAGCCTCGCCGTCCTCGCAGTCCATCTAAAAAACTCTATAAGCTTGAAAACTCCGATAAATCAATTCATCAACTTACAGTGTAAGACTCGTCACCTTCCATTGTCAATTGTGCTTGTTCCTGTTGTATGTCCTCAATCTGACAACCCACTGGAGCGTCACGTCTGAGGAGGGGGGAGCGGGAGAAACAACTCTCTTAAATATTTTTAATTTCAACTGCTAGCTCATTAAAACAGATTATTGAAGTACGTTTTATAAGAATATACTATTTCAGTCTTTCTACTTCAAAATATAATGTTTAATTCAATGTGTTACTTACTTGCCATTTCTTTGTACTATACTTATTTGTAAAATTTACTACAATTTCAGAGTGAAAATTGTTTCAAAGTAAATCTTACACCAAATCTTTCAGTGTAAAATTCAGAAACAACCTGCTGTTTTTCATTCTTTTGTGAAGTGATTATTGCATTGCATCATTGGTTGCAGCTGCAGGTGTAAATGATTATGAGAAATGCTCAGAACAAAATAATAACTGGAAACATATGTTATAAAATGCTTGACTGAAATGTAAGCCATTAATCACATAGAAGTGCACTAACGACCACTCAGAATGCAGTAACACCCTGGCAACCACCTAGCAACCACCCAGAACACTCAAGCAACTGCATAGCAATGTACTGACAACCACAGTAAGTGAGTTTTGCATTAGCAGGCACCATTCATCTTTCCTTCAGAAAATGTACAAGTCTAGTTTCTCATTCATGTTTCATGCTGGGATGATATATGCCACTCTGCCGTGCTTTGCTCCTTCCTTTCAGTTGCTTGGCTGTCAGTAATGCATGTTCATTTCTATCCAGGGAATGATTAGGTACTAAAAATGGCATGCTAGCATAAAGACTATATTGTGTGGTAGTATAGTTCTTTCCTTTCTCTCCATGCATGGTAAAGAATCTCCACCCATCTCCATTATATAGCTGAACAATCAATGTGTACTATTGTCCAAGACTATTATGTTCACTCCCCAACATGAGAGGCATACAGTGTCTTGTGAGGCAGTTCATTTCTTGAATACATATTTAACAGGCCTGTATTTCAACCAAGAGAAAAAAAAAGACTGAAGTGAAAAGGTACTGAGGTTTAGATCACCAGTATCTTCTACAATACAGTTTTTAAGTTTACTAAGGAAAGTGCAAGTGACTGTGCAAAAGCCACTGCTGCGATGTTAGGGTGTTGTGAGTGAAAACATCACAATAATCCACACAACTCCAGTCCATCAATTAACTTCTTGTGATGTAAAAAACTGTTTGTAAGAAACAAATCCATCATTAATGGAATACTCCACTATTTTTGAAAATAGGCTAATTTTCCAACTCCCCTAGAGTTAAACAGTTGAGTTTTACCATTTTCAAATCCATTCAGCCGATCTCCGGGTCTGTTGGTAGCACTTTTAGCTGTAGCTTAGCATAGATCATTGAATCTGATTAGACCATTAGCATCTCGCTCAAAAACGACCGAAGAGTTGAGTTTTACCGTTTTTGAATCCATTCAGCCGATCTCCGGGTCTGGCAGTAGCACTTTTAGCTGTAGCTTAGCATAGATCATTGAATCTGATTAGACCATTAGCATCTCGCTCAAAAACGACCGAAGAGTTTCTATATTTTTCCTATTTAAAACTTGACTCTTCTGTAGTTACATCGTGTACTAAGACCGACGGAAAATGAAAAGTTGCGATTTTCTAGGCCGATATGGCTAGGAACTATACTCTCAATATACTCTAGAAAATCGCAACTTTTCATTTTCCGTCGGTCTTAGTACACGATGTAACTACAGAAGAGTCAAGTTTTAAATAGGAAAAATATCGAAACTCTTTGGTCGTTTTTGAGCGAGATGCTAACGGTCTAATCAGATTCAATGATCTATGCTAAGCTATAAAAATAAAAACTATTAAAATTTTAATAAATTGTATAATAGTATGACTAATACTAAAATAACACTGTTGTCTCTAACCCTAAAGTATAAATAGAAATAATAATGATGCTTGCCTCAGTCATATAGCTTTTGTTCAGAGCTTTCATTAACAAGAACAACAACACATACAGCGGTGTCCTGTATGTCTTTGATTTATGAATTGGTGACAAAGTCAACATCAATAAATGCTTCTATAGCTTAACAAATTAATCTGCTTGAACATGCCTTAAGCAGGTCTGTACAGATTTCCCTGGAGACTCGCAGCTATAGATTTTATTCTCAAGTCCGTTTAGGGAACATAGACTCGTCACTGTATGGCAGCCTCTTTTGTGCTTTTTTTTTAAGGTTTATTTCAGACATTTCTATCAGGCACTCAAAATAACAGTTTTTTCTCACTTGTATCAGTTATATCTACATGTATCTATTATTGACATTAGGCTTCAGAATGTATTTAGCTTCTTTTATTTGAAAGATAAGCTTAGATTATTAATGAGCGTTCATAATAATAATGACCATGTTCAGTCATCTGGGTTGCTGTCCCAAAATAACCCAGCCTCATTTTGGGTCTGAGTCATATATGATATAGCACCTCTAAAAATATTTGAATTGGTTTATGAAACAGTCTTACTCATTGCGGTATCTGTTTAATTGAACAATAAGTATTCTTTTTCAAATTCTTCGTGCACCAAATTTGGTTGCTCTACTTTGTTGTACAAGTGGATGATTGAGTAGAATGTGGTCATTTCTCACATGCATGAATGAAATTACAAAAAGGACATTATTCACACCAACAAGCAAGGTGTGCTTGAGTGCATCGGCTTTACCTCTGTGTGACCTGGCTTTTAAAGTTTAAAGGTCATGCTGATAATTTCAATTCTAAATTAATCAAGTGGATGCTTAATTGATAGAACCATTGATTTTCTTGCTGCAGATAATCAGAAAATATGCTATGCTTTTAATTCCAGGTCTTGCATCAAGTCATGTGCTTTAAAATGAAAGAGCATGAAGACTCTGACACTGAAAAGCTTTTTATGTGAGGAGGTGGGCATGCAAAAATATATTTAAAAAAAAAAATGTAAAAATCAGTTCAATGCAAAATTCCAGCTATGTTTGTGGCACAATGCATGCAGAAACATCACCTTCAAAAGGTCTATGCATGCTTATTTTGATTGCCTTAAACATTCTCTGTCCGACATCTTTTTCTTTTAAAGCTTTAGTATTAAAGGAGCATAATACCTGGGAACCTACAAACTGAGGGAAAACATCTTCAACACTTGATTGTAATGCATGATGCCTACATGAGTAAACCTGCCTTATGAATGCAAAGTTGCAATGCTATGCATTTTTGTTTAACAAATAAAAACCTGGTTAGGTCATCGTTGTGACTTGACGTCATACCATTTGCTGTTTGTGTAGACTGTAATCTTAGTAATGCTCCCGTTTTGGTTAAAACGGCAGGCTTTATTATGTCTGTGTCATACAAGCCAATGTAAAATGAAACATTTTATTTAAACTAAAGCAACTACCAGACTGACCTCTTTGAGTCACTGTAGAGATCTACACTACACCCTACTGGTGACTTCTGTGTATTACAAGCGCTGAGTTTCAGCGTTATAAAACCCTGTTTAAATGGGTTGTCTTGTATTTTTGGCCTATTTAAAAAAAAATAATAATTATGGTTCATTCATATGTGTTATCATTGTACATTAACAAATGCATAAGGCTAAATCTTACTTAACAAATAATTCAAGATAATTTGTTGATGTCTGAAGATAGCCCACGCACGTGTTTTTTATGGGCAGATATAGGCTAGTAAGAAAATAAAAAGTTATGACATAAAATTAGGAAAACCAGATATTTAAAATTCTGCGCTATTTCTATAGGTCACTAATCAAATAAGCAGGTTTGTCACATTGACCATGCATCGTTTAGTACAAACAAATGTATTTATTTATTGTTATTATTAATTATTTTACACAATTTTCACTTCTTTTTATTTTAATGATTAATTTAAAACTTGTTTTTTTAGCTGCATTTTTAGTGTGAAAAAAGTGATAGCTACAGCACAAATAAAAATGGCTAATATTAATATGAACAAAATGAGAGATGCTTGTAATGGTCATTACAAATATTGTACGTGCTTCAGAATGCGGGTGCATCGGAGAAAGGATAGATCATACGCGCGAGTAGACAGTCTGAGATCGAGTAAACATCATCTTCTATTGTTGCCATTATTATTAATCTCACAAGCTTCCATTTCGAATTCAGCAAGCTGTCGAGCGCCTCCTGGCAACGGTTGCTATGGTGACTAAGGGGGGGGGGGGGGAAGGGGTGGAGTTTAGAGGAAGCGGAAGTGTCAGCGCAAGCGGAAGTGGTACTGCCCTGAATACCCCGAGCAGCAAAACGGAGGACAGCTTGATACTCCCATCGTTAACAGACACAAATCAGGACTCGAAATATATTTCAATGTGAGTTACATTGCCCATTAAGGCCGCTCGTGTGATATTATGAATGTTAGAGATGCATTTTGCTGTATTGTTGCACATGTAAGCCCCCCTCATCATTGTCAATGGCGGAAGGTGTCTATTGTGGTTTGGGGCTGGGTACAAGGACTTAGGCCGAGGCGGGCGATGAATAACGATTATTGCCGATTTATTTCCGATTACGTCCGATTTCTATTAGAAGCGCGCGGTTCCCGCACATCCATTATGTAAGAGCGCTATCAAAGTATCGTCGTGCGGAACAGCCCTCATCCGAACGGGAGCAATGGCCAGCGGCTCCCGCGTCTATTCAACACCCGGTCGTCGTGAAAGCTAACCGGCTAACAAGGTAATGGTATAATACACCACAGGAGCAAAGCGCGTTCTTATGAAGGCAGTTAGTAACGGTTAAATTTTATTTGGCGCGAATAATCGGCACGTCCGATTAAATTCCACACGGGAATGCGAGTGAGAGGGCGTTGCATTGGTGGCTAACGCTGTTAGCTCGAGCGAAGAGCCTGAATATGCTGCAGTGCAGTATTAGTGAGGTTAGGCGCTTAAAACGGCTCACGTTTATAGTTTCACTATTTCTAAATGCGTTCAAGTTAATGTATTGAAATGATTTAGTGGGTTGGATCGTTTAAATCGCGAAACAATCGCCTCAAAGGATGGCGGACTTGTCGACAGGACGCGTCGTGAGGGCCTATGTAAATAAATCTAGTTCGACACCAGCTCTTATGTCATCTACTAACCGTTCAAACTACGCATTTTAACTAGTATTCCAGCCCTCCTCGGTCTCATTAGGCAACCGATTAGCAAGCTCACACGTGTGTGTTCGTCTCTAGGAGCTGGACGGGCCGTGTTTTCTCGCCTGACACCGTTACCTGTGGTTCGGGTTCAGGCGGAGACATCAACGCCCTGGGCGTTGGCACTTACACACGTATTGATAGCTGACAGAGTTGAAATTCCCACCGTGGCCTGCTGGAATCCCGATTCCATGTCGGATTCCATGACCTTGCACAAAGGTAGACGGACAATTGGATAAATGTAATATTAAGCAGCAGCCAGAAACCTGGGGTTATATGTGATTTAGAACAGGTTATCTAACTTAGTGGGTTTGGTTTAGACTTTGACCATTTATAATACGCAGAGGTGGATAAGCCATTGTGTGTTTTAGAAATAAGGATTTTGACCTACTTTTTAATTGGGTTATATATTTCAGAAATCCTGAAACCACTGCATCAGTGCAGTATGAGCTACAAATATGACCTGATTATTTGTCAATTTGGTGCAGAAAACAATTGTCAATGTAAAGTCAAAGTAAAACAAATGTTATGGTGGTCATATATTTATTGACCTAAAACTAGTCTTTTAGGTTAACCACAGCTTACACCATTATCTATGGGTAAACCTGGGTGATAATACATAAAATGCATGGTAATCTTATTTAAAAAAAAAAAAAAAGCATTATTCTCAATTAAAAGTGTTTCTAAGTTTCTCAGAAACAGTTACTGTCAAGGTAAAACAAACATTAAGGAGTGCATGTATTTCTTATTCTACCCAAAAAAAAAAAGTCTTTGAGGTTAAGCACTACTAATACCATTATCTATAGATAAACCTGATTCATTATGCAGAAATGCATGGTAATATTTTATAAAGCATTATATGGCAAAATAAACCCCCCAAACTTAATTTCTGTTTAAAGTGTTGGTAACACGTTATAATAACTTTCATTAATAAATCATTAACAAACATTAAATAATGCTTGATGGATAATTAGTTAATATATATTCAAAGAGTTAGAAACGTGAGATAATGTGCTTGTTAATGTTTGCTAATAAACTTATTAAACATTAGATCATGTTCAAACAAATTATTATTTCATGCAAGTTAAAATGCTTACAAATGTCATTAAACTTTCAATTCCATATGATCAAGCACTTATTGAAAATCTACAAATGATTTGAACAGATGTTATAAAATCATTAAAAGCTTGTTAATGCACAACACTTTTGCTGCTGTTGAGGTGTGATACGGGTAAGGTTAGGGACAGGTCTGGTGGCATGGGTAGGTTTAAGGGTTGGTTAAAAGGTCAACGGTGTACAGGGGTCAGTTTGATTATTATAAGGGAATACGGTTCAATCGGTTTATATTGTTGTTTTGATAAATGAACAAGTATTTTCTTTTAAAAAATGATTTGTTTTCTCCTGTTTATTTATGATTCAAGGAATATCCTGTTTAATGATATACTGAAGAGTAGTATACTAATGTGAGTGTTGAGGCAATAAAAACATTTTTTTGCACCAAAATTACAATCTGTGATGTCTTTAGCAAGCATTTAGCTAAACTTAACCAGCCACCCTTTACACAAACCTTGTTCCATTAGCTAAAAGTCCAATGCCCATAAAGATACTAAAAGATTAGTAATCGTTCATAAACATTTACAAATGATGAATAGTTTCAACTTTAGATTGGCTACTGCAAAAACATGAACAAATGATTAATAAGTGATTATTAAAGATGTGTGAATAGGGTAACTTCAGGTCTTTCGGGACACTTTTTGCCATTGAGATGACTGTTCATAAAGGTATTAATGATTAGTAAACTTTTATAAACATTTGCAAATTATGAATAGTTTCCACTTTAGATTGGGGTACTACAAAAACGTACAAATAATTAAATTATTTGTTAAGATGTGTAAATGGAGGTCTACACAACAAACAAAGACCAACAAATGAAGATCATATGAACTGAAAGTTTACTGACATTTGTAAGCATTTCAATTTACATTAAATAATCATATGTTAATCAATCGGTAATGTTGAGTAAGTTCATTAGTAAACATTAACAAGAACATTATCTCATATTTCTAGCTATGTGAATATATATTAACTAATGCTGTTAAGCATTATATAACGTTTGTTGATGATTTATAAATGAAAGTTATTATAAAGTGTTACCAAAGTGTTTATATAATTTTCAAAATGTAAAAAAAACATTTTACCAAAGTTCAAGTTTGGTGAATTTTAGTCCGCAAAATGATGATTGATCAGTAGAGAATCTTAATTTAAATGAGTTCAAAGAGGAAAAAATGGTAACACTTTACAATAAGGTTCATTATTTAACTACTTTAGTTATCATGAACTAAGAATGAACAATACTTCTGCAGCATTTATTAATCTTAATGTTAATTTCAACATTTACTAATGTGTTATTAAAATCAAAAGTTGTGCTTGTTAACATTAGTTAATGCTCTGTGAACTAACATGAACTAACAATGAACCACTGTATTTTCACTAACTAACATTAACAAAGATTAATAAATACTGTAATACATGTATTGTTCATGTTAGTTAATACATTAACTAATGGATCCTTATCGTAAAGTTACCGAAAAAGTTATGGAAAAGAAAAACACAAACGTGGCCTTATTTTGCGTTGTGTGGGATCTGAAGTAATTTTACTTGAAGACTAGTGTGAATGCCGTTTTAGTGTGCAAACCTGCCTGTTTTCAAAACCGACTAGTCTACTAATCAGTCTTAAGGAAGCTCTGTTTAACTAGGCTGGTTTCAAGTAATGCTCTTCATCAGTTAGTGTTATAACCTCAAATGGGATTTTACTGATGTTTTTCACTCTGATTCAGTGATGAATGCATTTAGATAAAGTCTCTGAGACAGTCGCTGAATGACTGCAACTTCATAGCTGTGCCTTAGCATTGGTCCTCTTACATAATCGTTCATGGGTAGCCTTCAGTATGACTTAAATCTGCACAAGTCCCAAATTTAATAATAGTATCTGGTGCAGGTCAAAATTGGCACCAACTTGAAAATTGACCTCTTTACAACAAAAGGAGGTCAGCCAAGCTCACTAAGCGACACCAAACTTGATGTAATTTTATTATATTCATACAGACTATAGACAAAGGAAAATTAACTCTCCAACGTGCATTTTGTTATCTAACTATACATTTTCTCCTACTTTTGTAGTTGCATCATGGACAAGAGTGACCTAGTGCAGAAGGCAAAGCTCGCTGAGCAGGCCGAGCGCTATGATGATATGGCTGCTTCCATGAAGGCCGTCACGGAGGGCGGCGTTGAGCTTTCCAACGAAGAGCGCAACCTGCTCTCCGTGGCTTACAAGAACGTGGTGGGCGCCCGCCGCTCGTCCTGGCGCGTGATCTCCAGCATCGAGCAGAAAACGGAGGGCAACGAGAAGAAACAGCAGATGGCGCGTGAATACCGTGAGAAGATCGAGGCCGAGCTTCAGGAGATCTGCAACGACGTGCTGGTGAGAGACGTGAAGTGTGAAGAAAACATTTGACAGTTCTAGAAGTTCCACCTGATTTAATTTGCAATTGATTTTACGTTTAAGTAGGCAGCAAGGCAGGTCACTTTATAGTTAGAGCAAAAGGAATCAATTTTATTTGTAACATGAAACTGCTCATATGAAAATTGCAATTAGGATGGATCAAAAATGCACATTTTACCTTTAAGAAAGTTGCTTTTTCCTCTTTCTGATGGTCAGTGCTGTTCATTTATTTGTAATATTAATGGTCATAGCTTAATGTCAGTCTTAACTCTGTTCTCTCAGGGTCTCCTGGAGAAGTACCTCATTCCCAACGCTAGCCAGGCAGAGAGCAAAGTCTTCTACCTGAAAATGAAAGGAGACTACTACAGATACCTGTCCGAGGTGGCATCTGGAGAAGCAAAGAAAAGTGAGCTCATTTTCTTTAAAGCAAGAAGTTTGTTGCCTAAATATTAATCTGTTAAATCTATTCATTAGGGAGAAGATGGACTAATAGAAAATAATTGGAACTGATAATGCTGGAGTTTAAGGTCCAGTCCTAAGAGTGAATAGTTGCTAGCCAAAGCATCAGAACATTCAGGCTGTGATGTAATGGTCATTAATTTGATTTTGTTTCCTCTCAAATTGCAGCCACAGTGGACAACTCTCAGAAGGCTTACCAGGATGCATTTGAGATCAGCAAAAGTCTTGATTTAAGAGACAAAAATACTGAGGAAAAACATCACATTTTTGCAATGTGATCAGAAGGTACAGTAAAAGTTATTTCCATATTCTAGTGGTTAGGAGAAGAAATATTCAAGATGAATTACAGAAATAGTGTAAAATTAATTACAAAGTAATGGAGATCTGTGGGAAGTTGAATTTTTCAACTTTTGATATCTTGAATCATACCTTTACCTTCATAAAACCTGCAGAAACCCTGTCTTAGTGGCAGTGTAGTTTTAGGCCCAATCCCAATTCTATTTTATACCCCTTCCCCTTTTCCCTTGAAACAGAGTGTCAAGGGGTAGGGGTGAAAATATTCCCCTAAGAATTGGGACACCACTACTATACGTCAC